TACACACACACATATAGGGCCACTCAGTGGTTAAGTAACTTGTCTAGGGTTCCACAAACCAATTTTTCTGATTTTATCTTGCAAGATTTGCCATATACAAGAGTTATCAACATTCTTATTCAGCAAATGAAGAAAAAGAAACCCAAACAGAGTAAATAACTTAGATGAGGTCACAGAGCAAGCTGTAACCCAATTATCCCAGGACAATAAAAGGCCTACCCATGCCAGGTAACTGGATTTTAAACATTTTTTGGGAAGCACTATGTAATTTGAAATTAATATTTTCAAAGGTTTTTTGTTTTTATTTTATAATAAGAAATACTTCAGCAACCAAGAATATAAATCAAAATAACTCTGTATACTTTCAGATCCATTGCCTGTTACGGGAAAAAAAAATCATTTCTGATATTCATAACTACAGACTTACAAACTTTGAAAATCAATTTGTTTAAAAGCCTCTCAATTAAAAGAGAGAGAAGAAAGAGAGGTTAGGGTTAGTTATCAGTGAAAATACAAAAATGTTCTAGTGTATGATTCCTTTGTATTTTTCACAGTTTTTATAAGGGTGATTTCATAACCATAGTCTTTCTAATTTAAAGAAGAGGAAACAAAAGCCCTCATTTTATTTTCTTATTTAGAATATAAGCCCCCCTAAAGAATCTATCCTTTAAAAGGGCAGAAATATGTTCAATGTTATCTTTTCAATGCCTAGTACATAGCATAAACTATTTAGCACAAAAAACCTAGCACAAAGAAAGTGACTAAAATATTGCTGAATAAGTGAAACTTGCATGTTTTACTTCCATAGAGAGCATTTCTTTCTGATTGGGTATGAGAAAGAGAGACATAGGTGATCTCGTTTTTAGTTTTTCCTAACTTTACATGGTTAATAATCTACTAAAAAAATAAAGCTGAATAATGGTGCAAAAGACAGGAGACTGAAATCAATGAAATTCCACCATTAGGGAGATGCATGTCAAGTTGTTTTGACTTTTATTTTCAATGGGCATAGTTTGAACTTCAAGGGGAACCATTGTATCTCTTGTAGATTCCAAACATTAAGGAAGCACTTAAGTCCATAGCTTGGTCGCTTTCCTGAACTGGACAGTATGGAAAGAAAAAGCATTTGACAGGGTTAGTTCCTCAGCCCTCCTGAGCAAAGGTGGCAGCAACTGTTTACAGGACACTTTTTGGCTGGGCACAGTGTGAGGAGTTTTTACTGGTGTTATCTCATTGAACCCTCACTTCACTTCTGTGACGTGGTACTATTATTCTTTGCATTTTAAAAATGGGGAAACTGAGGCTCAAAGAGATGAGTAGGAACTCAAGGTCAGATCTGTCTGACTCCAGACTTCAAACTCTTTATATCAATATCCCTCAGACTTCACCATTTACCTACCACTTGGATGGCTTTGTCATTGGTGGCCACTGTGGAAGACTGCTTCTCAGACTTCCCTGCAATGAGGTCCCCACCTGCCATGCTCTCAGTGTCCACTGCTCCCCCTCATGGCTCTGCCAATGATTGAGTACAGTGGGGGTACCAGGCAGTTCATTTTTGTCCAGTGTGGGCCTCCCAAAATGGGCAATCTGTGGTCTAAGATGCTTGGCCAAGACTTTCTCAGCCCTACCCTCCATCTTGGACTTTTCCGACCAGCTCCTCCTTCCTTCTTTCTCTCCCTTCGCTGTTGTCAGAACCTCCCTGTGGTCTGAAGGCTCCTCTACCCACCCTGGCCACAGGTGTTTGCCTTCACACGTCTCTTACACATCAAGTCTCTTTTGTCTGCTTCTTGGAGGAACCAAATGTACCATTGCTTACCTAACATGGGCAATATATAACATTTTTAAAATTGTGAGTTGGAGTCTCACTCTGTCGCCCAGACTGGAGTGCAGTGCGCATGCTCCCGGCCACCACAGCCTCGACCTGCTGGGCTCTGGTGATCCTTCTGCCTCAGCCTTCCTAGTAGCTGGAACTACAGGTGCGCGCTACCATGCCTGGCTAATTTTTTGATTTATTGTAGAGATGAGGTCTCATCAAGTTGCTCAGGTGGGTCTCGAACCCGCGGGCTCAGGCAATCCACTCACCTCAGCCACCCAAAGCACGGGATTACAGACTAAGCCACTGAGTTTGGCTTATAACATTTTATATAATATAACATATCATATAACATTTTCCTTTTCTTTGAATTCCTTTTTAAACTAAATATATTTAGTCTTACCTTGAGCAAAATATATGTTAATGTGCTAGCTCTATTTTTCCTAATACATTTTAAATATATATGTATATAAGGACATATGATAATTATTTAAATAGAAATATTCAAATATGTGTCCCTTAAATCATCTCCCTTGCCACCAGTATACACATAAGAGGGGGGACCTCAAAACACCAGGAATTTATCTATTAAAAATTGTGGATTTATTCTTGCATGTTTCAACTTCAGTCACCTTCAAAGTACACTCTGTTTGATGCAATACACCAACTGAGATGCTTTTTCTACTGCTCAAAACAGTTTTTGAACTCATTAATTTTCATGCCTTTTAGTGTTTCTGTTGTTTTGGTTTCACTCCTTCCCCATTGGCAAAATGTTTTTCTTTGAGGACTTTTTTCATCAGGGGGAACAAAAAAAAAAAAGTAATTTGGGGTGAGATCAGGTAAATAGGGAAGGTGGGACACAGGGATCATGACATTTTGATAAAAAACTGCTGAACACCCAGCGAGGTGTGTGCAAGTACACTTGTAAATCACCCATCATTAAATGGGCAAACACGCTGAAAGAATCTAAAAAAAAAAAAAAAATTCACTGAAGCTGAACGCAGCCTCTCACAATAACACTAGCTGGTACATGGATGCCCACAGGGTCCTAAAACACTTACTTTTTTTTGGCCTTCCCCCCCCCACACACACACTTGGAAACTGTTCCCTACCTTTTGCTGCTAGTAAAAGATATTTTAAGATAAGTTCTGGTGGGTGACGAAGAAGGAGGATTGTAGCAAGATGGTCTACTGACATCATCCAGAGTTCTCATGAAATATTGAGTTTATGCTCTGGCAAGAATCTAGAAGGAAGATTTCTGTACAACAGGAAGCAAACAAGAAAGAGGTTGAGCAACCAAGCCCGATTCTGGCCGAGAGAGTAAGGTTGACATCACAGCAGCATCTGTATTCTTCATCTGCTCTGTGTGGCGGCCAAAGGCAATCGATGTTTTGCTGAAATTACTAAGTTGGAGTTTTCAAGCTCTGTGAATTATATGCACCCCCACATCTCTGACTGCTCACTCATTTTTTGGCCAAATATCAAGCAGATAAGAGCTCTGTGTGGCAGCTGGGCTTTGCTTGGCTGTGATGATTAAGGGACAGACCTCAGAATTACTCAGTCCCACCCACCCACTTCCGTGCATGCCATACCCTAGGTACTTCAATTTTAGATGAGGAAAAAAAAATAATCAGACGGTAGTTTGACTTTTCCTGTCACAGAGCACTGTGTGTGTTTGCTCCGGGGATGAACTGGGGGACACCCTGGTTTTCTAAAAGGAGAGTGAAGACCTAGTGGCTTGTAAAGATTGATTCTGTCTGGCTGGGAAGCAGAGGTCATTGATCTTGCCTGGTGACAGTGCCCAGAGAAAACCAAAAAGAAGCCAGAGACCCAAACTATTTAAGAAGGTAAATGAAATTATGAAATACTGCTGTCCTCCCTCACAAACTGGAGTCACTCAAAGAATGAATCAGTCTATGTACTCATTTCCTTTTCTTCCCCACAAAACACATGTTATACCAGGATAGGCATTTCACTCTTCCCAGGAGTACATCGGGGGCTTCAGCTCAATGACAAGTCAAGTCATTTTGAAGATGAACAAAAATCCTCCATAAACTGCTGCGGACAATTAACCCAGTAGGAATTATTTCTGGAGTCCTCCAGCCCTAAGGACTCTTTACATCTCGAAAATCAGACTTACCTTTTTCCAAAACAGTTTGCCTAGAGGCAGAGAGGTGGGGCCTGATTTCTCCTTGGTACCCTCCTTTGCAGTTTCCGCAGATGTCACAGATGGTGCATGTCCTGATGGGTTGCAGCCTTTAGGATTCTTGGCTGCCCCTTGGGTCTCCTGGGGTATAAAGTTGGCTTGGTCTGACTTGAGGTCAGCTGAAGTGGTAGGTGACTTTTCGACACCCTATAAAGTTTTTTTAAAAATGAAGGGAAACATTGAAAATAGCCTCTAGATTTCAAAAGTGAAAAAATCTCTTTTTAAAATCAACATGAACAGAGGTTATGCACAATGTTAATTTTCTTCTTTATAATTGTATTTTGCAAGTTTTTACTGTGAATGAGAATTTGTGTTAAAATCTTGGGGAAAAAGTCAAGATATTTTCCCTTTGAAAAAGATAAATATAAAAACATAATTGATTATGTTCACTTAAGTAATTCACTAGGAACTGAGGTGATGGTAAGAGGCCCTTGGCTAGTAGAATGTGCAGCCCTTATCTAAGTCATTGGTCTTCAAATGGTTTTGATCAAGTTCCCATAGTAAAAATATTTTGAACACGCATTCCCAATACATGTATATTTATTAATGTATATATTATAAACATGTATTATTTTACTAACCCAAATTAGAAATGAAAGGATTCAAATAAATATAAAATATACTTATAATTTGATTATAATATAATTTTAAGTTATAAATATAATTCTGAAACTTCTTTCCCATACTTCACTTTGGGTATCACTGATCTTGACTATAAAATAAGAGTAAGGCAGCTAGACTAGAACTTGGTGACAGGGTTTTGAATTGGAAGGGGATCCATGAACCCCATTTGTTCATTTTAGACGTAGCACCCACATTCCACAATGAAAACATCTGCAAACGTTATTTATTCTTTTTTTTTTTTTTTGAGTTGGAGTCTCACTCCGTCGCCCAGACTGGAGTGCAGTGGCCGCTCCCGACCACCGCAGCCTCGACCTGCTGGGCTCCGGCGATCCTTCCGCCTCAGCCTTCCGAGTAGCTGGAACTACAGGTGTGCGCTACCACACCCGGCTAATTTTTTGATTTATTGTAGAGATGAGGTCTCTCCAAGTTGTCCAGGTGGGTCTCGAACCCGCAGCCTCAGGCAATCCACTCACCTCGGCCTCCCAAAGGCAAACATTATTTATTCTATCTTTATTTCCTTGCTCCCTTTCTCTCTCCACTCCATTTTTCCTTCCTTTCTCTCCGCCCCCAACCTCTGTCTCTCTCACTCTCTCTTTTTCTCTCTCCCTTTCTGTGTCTCTCTCTCTCCCTCTTTCTCTCTTCCTTCCTCCCTCCCTTTTTCTCTCTCTCCCTCCCCACTCTCTTCCTTTCTGCCTTTCTTTCTTTCCCCATCCTTCCCTTTCTCTTTCTCTTTCTCCCGGTCTCCCTCCCCCCTCCCTTTCCCTTCCTCTTTCTGTCCTTTCCTCTTGGGGCTGTCCTGACACCCATTTCTAGGACATTTGATTTCTTCAGTGAGAGGCTGTTAATTTCTATACTCAGCCACCCCCTGAGTCATGGGATTAAGAAAGAGTTGGGAGAATTATAGTCATGATTTTCTCAACATGAGTGACTATTGGCATCTACCAGGTTCATATGACCTAATCTCTTTATCCTAAGTATCTTCATCTTGGGATTTTTGTTCCAGGGACAATCCCTTTATGTTCCAAGAGTGTCATATATTTGACTATATTTTCTGACTGAAAGAACAAAAACATTTGGCAGAAAAAAATGGGGTGTGGACAAATTCAAGAAGTTTCATAATATTTGGGGGGTGAAAACAGTCTTAAAGACTGTCTGGTCCAATACTTGAATTTTCAGAAGTGGGGAAACTGAGGCCCATGATCTGCCCAACACTAAACAAGGGTCACAGCCAGGTCCCACATCTGAACTTCTGGCTCCTGTCTGGCTCTTTCCACCCACCACACAGCTTCTCCAAAGGGTGTTTGCAAATTTTACTATATGGTGCAAGACACGATATCTTCTCTGCTGAGTATTTTGTGCAAGGTGGAACCACTTACTGAGCAGATTCCACGTTCAAATCATGGTAAATAACTAAAGTCTAGAAATGACTTTTGTGAGACTGGAATAACCCCAGTTCCATTTAAAAGTGGGCACAACTGCATAGTGCTAGAATTTTAAAATTACTTCTGTGTTTTATAGACCATGAAGTCAAAATGGCTGTGCTCATAAGGTTCTTGTGTTACAAATGTCCCAAATGATCTTGGACGCTTGGTACTCTTTTGGCTCTAAATGGTAACAAAATTAAAGGGTCTAGTTAACAAAGAAGTGCTTCCTGCCTTCCCACAAGCCTCATACACTAAGTAGTTTGCTTTCTTTTTTAGAAAATATGAGAAAGTATTATGTATTCATAAAAAATACATCAAGTACCTTCTATGAGCCCTGATGTGTATTAAGTACTGGGGTTACACATCCTCATGGAAAGAATGACACTAAACAAATAATTCCACAAATAAATGTAAAATTTCAACGGTAATAAGTGCCGAGGTGGGAGAGGATTTGGTGCTACCCTTCTCTCCCCAAAAATCTGAATCAGGGAACCCCCCTGAATCATTGGATACACTCATGACAATCAAGGAAGGCTTAACTGAGCAAGATATGGCTGTGCTTGGGTCTGCGGGGTGACTGGGAATTAACTAGGGAAGGGAGGAGGGGAACAGCTGCTCTCAGGTCCTTTGGTGAGAGGACACATGGTAAGTGTCTGAGCAAGGAGTGGTCAGGCTTGGCCACTTCCCCAACAGTGACCTCTCCTTCTGCTTTTCCATTTTAGACCAAGAACCTGGGGTTAACCTTTTCTCCATTTCCAAGAAAGTTTGGTTGAAGTCAATCATCAGTCCTACCTAAGTCGTCCTGCTCTTTCATTTTTTTGAGTCAGGGTTTCACTCTGTCACTCAGGCTGGAGTGTGGTGGGAAAATGGCCAATTCTCTTCTTTTTTGTACTGAGAAGATACCCAGACACTCTTGAAAAACATTACAGGGGCATGACTCCTTGACAGTTATAGTAATATAACATAACTCTGGCTGTTAGGTAGCTGTTTGTTGAATATTTGTCTCCTTTGTTAGACTTCGAGCTCCTTGAGGGCAAGAGAGTCTTGGTCACCGTTACATCCCTAGTTTTCATCAGACCCAGTGTCTGGGACAAAATAGAAAGTCAATCAATCAATCGTCATTCAACCAATAATTACAGTATAAGAAAGGAACCAGAGAGAGACACTTATCCAGGATCCTGCCATACTATGTTCTAGCCACCTACCCTTTCCTCACTGAGCTGTAGAGTCCTGGTCAGAACACAATTAGTTTTTTCTTCCCTGCCTGCCCCTGTCTTCACTTACCAAAGTCCCCCAGATGGAATTCTGCCAGCATTAACCAACTTGGTATTCTTTGTTTGCATTAGGAAGGAGGCTACAAAAATTCTGTGTTCCCAGAGCCAATCTCATGAATAGAGTTGCCAGATTTAGCAAATAAAAATGAGAATACAGGACGCCCCATTAAAGTTGAATTTCGGATCAGCAAAGGATAATTTTTTAGCATCAGTATGTCTCAAATACTGCACGGGACATACTTATGTTTAAATTAAAATTTCTTGTTGATCTGAAATTTGTATTCAGCTAGGTGCTTTACATTTTGTCTGTCATCCCTACCCATGAAATTCTAATGTCTTCGATTTGGAGATGGTGTGTCAAATGACCTTACCTTCTTAGTAAGTTTTCATCTTGTTTTCACATTTGTGTGTGGGAGAGAGGAGATGTTAGTAAGCTGTAAACATTACACCAAGAACAAAAGCAATGAATGTGGCAGAGCTTAGAAATCACACAAGCTGGTTCTAAGGCTTCAGCTGCCTTACAGGGTGGGTGGGCACTGGGGAACCTAAGTAGGGAGAGGAGCATTTCTGGATGTGGCAAAACCACATTAAAGCAATGCCCTGTGTTGTGGGCATGTTGTCACCAAGCATGGGAGGCCATGTGAAAAAGTTTGATTCTGAGGCATTGCGTATGCCAATGCGTGATTGCCAAGAAAAAAAGATTTAGATTCAGCAAAGGGAAGCTGATGCTTGAATTACTTACAAAAATAAACTTACTTCATATATTAATTTTAGACTTCCCTACTTTTTTTTTTGTCGGAGTCTCACTCTGTCACCCAAGCTGGAGTGCAGTGGCTCGATCACGTGATCATGGCTCACTGCAGCCGCAGGGTCCTGGGCTCAGGTCATTCTTCCGCCTCAGCCTCCCACATAGTTTAGACCACAGGTGAGCGCACCACAATATCCAGCTGATTTTATTTTATTTTATTTTTTGCAGAGACGAGGTATTGGCTATGTTGCCCAGGCTGATCTTGAACCTGTAGACTCAAGTGATCCTCCTGCCTCGGTCTCCTAAAGTGCTGAGATTACAGACATGAGCCACAACTTCTGGTCTTTCCACTATTTAAACTAAGAAAATTCTTCCTATAGGAGGGATAATAGAGAAATAAACCCAGGAGTTAACCAGAATTGGTAACCACTGCATTTTCTATAGCAAAACTAGAAGATAGTGTTTTATCCTTGAATTTGTTTGAATTTCTCTTTTTCTATTCTAGGTTACAGCCCTGTGGAGAAATTGAAGTATCACAGTTCCTAAAATTATGCTACAAGGGTCATCGGTAGAATCTGGCTGGTTATTTTAATGACCCTATTTTCCTATTTTTGTAGACAACAGACTAGTCAAAAAAGGAAAAGAAATAAAATATCCTAGGTACAGAGGCAAAAGTCAATGAGTTCTACCCAACAACTGCATAGATAAGAATTTAGAACATTTGGAGTTGTTCTTTAATTTACACTTACATAAAAAATACACTGAATGGAACTCAAGGCAAAACCCTCAAGTCTTTTGTCTGTATTATAGAATCCCAGAAAGAATGCTTCTTCTACATTTCCCCCGGTATTCCAGAACCTTATCTTTTCTCCATCTACCTCAGTGACAGGACCTGAGGCCAATGACTTTGGGGAGCCCTAGAAATGATAACATTGAACTTGGGTGGTCCACTTGTGGGTGGCAAGGGATACGATAGACATGAAATTTTATAGTGCATGAAATGAATATCATAGTGAAATGCAGATCTGGGGAAAAGTCATACACATCTTAAACTTTCAAGGGCCTCTACTCACAAAAGCTCCAAGTGGGAGTTAAATTAGATTTCTTTGATATGTTTCACTAGTGGTTGCTAAGTTGTCTCCCATATTCTGTTAGACCACATCTTAATTCTTCCTCCCCCATTGCAATATTTATCACTCCTTCTCTCTTTACAGAACAAAATCAGCCTTATGGAAATTGAAAGGTGGCTTTCTAACATAGTTTGTTTATGCAAATACTGATTTAGCTACGAGAATTTTCTACAGCGCTCTTACTTGCATATACAATCTTGGGACTATAATATCCTGCTGGGAAGATTTTAAAAAATATGTTCATTCAACTTGATGTAAAAGGGTTGATATTTTAAATGTCCAAGTATGCTGACCCAATTCAGGGTTATTTTTAGAAATTTTATTTGAAAGATATGGGGTACAATTCAGGGTTAGATATACAAATGTCAGGGATCTTTTTTTTTTTTGAGTTGGAGTCTCACTCTGTCGCCCAGACTGGAGTGCAGTGGCCGCTCCTGGCCACCGCAGCCTCCACTTGCTGGGCTCTGGTGATCCTTCGCCCCAGGCTTCCGAGTAGCTGGAACTACAGGCGCACTCTATCACACCCGGCTAATTTTTTTGATTTATTGTAGAGATGAGGTCTCACCAAGTTGCCCAGGCGGGTCTCGAACCCGCAGCCTCAGGCAATTCACTCACCTCAGCCTCCCAAAGGCGCAGGATTACAGACTGAGCCGCCGAGCCCGACTGGGGATCTTTTTAATTGATGGTTTTAGACAACCCTGGTATCTTCTTAGATATCAGTCCCAAACTAACTTCAGTGTTGTCCTAACTTCTCAAAGTTCTAGAAATATAACGTGCTTTGCCCTCATTCATCGTTTTTCTTTTTTTCTACCTGGGGTTTTATTTGGGTTCAGTATAAGCTTAGTTAATATAGGGAATGGATGAAACAGACCACAGAAGGGTACAATTGTTATCTTGAGGTTAGAAGAGTATTTCCCAAAGTGTAGGAAGCATACCATTGGTGGATCGGAGATGATTTTAGATTGTGCAGAAATATGATATTAAATAACATTCAAGTTATAAAAAAAATTTTTCCTTTTCCAGTTCCCATTTAATCCTTCGAATAACATTCCAGGGAAAGTCTCAGTCTGGTGGTCACTTTAACATTTTTCTACCAATGGTCAATTAATTGCCTTTTCATAAATCCAGAAAGGGCATCGGACTTAGAGCTGAACACAAAGAAGTAGCTAGAATGTAATATATATATATTTTAATTAGTCATATTGATGGTTATTTTCCTCTTATGAAAGATGATTCTGATTTTCTATGTATGGTATAAGTTTCTTTTAAAGATACATTTAAGTAGGAAATGGGTCAATTTCAATCTAAAAATAGTAAGTAAATAATAGTATATCTAACCAAAATGGTGAAAGTGGTATGCAGACAACAAACATTTGGGAAATATGAGGTTAGAAGAATGATTTCAGAACCCTGGTCCACACTAGGAAGAAACCAGTCTGAGATGTTTGTAACCATGGGGACTTAAAATCACTGAAGCTTGGTTCCCATCTTCTTTATGATCCCAACCACCACAGGCTCTCCCTTCACCGGAGAGGAGCCAGGCTAGTTCAGGATGGCATGGGTATTGTGTGGTGAAGACCAGGGTTCTTCTTTTCTAAGTTCAACAAGACACAGACCTTATGCCTAAAGAATTTTCTAAAGGCGAGTCCTAGCCTGGGGCTATCCAGGTGCTTTTTCTTGGTGCCTTTAGCCTGGTCCCCGGATGTCTTCTGACCGGCTTGTCCATCACAGACACTTGTTGCTTTGGATGCCTTTGGGGCAACAGTAGTCACAGGCTTAGAACTTTGGTTTTAAACAAAATCTATTTTTTCTTTTTGTCTTGAAGTGCATTAATACACTGTGGCAATTAAATGCTGGTATGTCAGCCTGTCCTCAGTCACAAAACACTACGTGCTTATCTTTTTTAAACTCTAAAAGATGGTTTGTAAAACAGCATATTCACTGTCAATTTCAGGTACACATTGATTTTCAACAGGGTGACCTATTTAAATGACCCAGATGAACACATCTCAAAACAAAACAAGACAAAACAAAAAACCCAAACCAAACCAAATCAAAACAAACCCCACCCCCAATATCTCCACTTGCTAAAGACAAATAATAGGACATTTAAGCTCTGTCTACATGACTTAAAAAACCCAAATGAAAAATAAAAAAGAAATAAATAACAGTCTCTCCTTGATAGTTTGACTTAACTAAATGCTGTTGTCATATGAGAAAAAAAAAAAAATACCTGCAGGCAATGATTTCTTTTTGCATTCTGGAATCAAGGCAAATACTGCCCCTTAATAGCTTTCATTATTTAAAAGATCTCATTTGATTTAGTATTAGAAACTTCATGGAAGCAGTGTCACTCACAAAAATTTTGAGTCACTTCTAAATGGGCAGAGCTCCCAGGCAGAGAAAGTGTCTAGTGTGAATCAAGTCACTGAGCCAAAAGTACTTTGGAAACAAAATTGCCCAGCTATGACCATTCAAGATTGTTGACTCAAGTTAAAAAGGACAGAGCATTTTGGGGGAGAGGGGTGCAGATACAGTGCTAAAAAATGGTACAGTAGGAAAGCTGTCATAATGGCAAGCTACAAGAACTAGGTTTATAGGAAACGGTATTTTGTGGATGTCATGAGCAACCTACATTCACAAAACCCTTTTTGGAGACCCAGCTCCACTAGCAATGACTTCATGTCCTCTGGGTAGGCCAGTGAGATTTTATCAGCTAGATACATTCAGCTGGGACCACATTCTGGGTCAGGGAGGAGTCTTGGTGCATGACCAGCTAAAGAGAAGGAGTGCATCAGGTCACTTGGGAAGCCACACAGCACACTCACATACCCCACTGGTTATAGCCTATTACGCTGAGTACATGACTTCAAACAATGCGAGACCCAGAACCAAAAGAAAAACATTTCGACCCAACCATTCATTGAACTTGACCCTAACAGCCTTGCAGAAAATGAATAATTTTAGAGGATGTTTACAGACATATATTTTTTTTAATAGAAGAAAAGAATTCTAGAGGAACCAATCAATGTAATACAAATGTGATCACATCGGTCAACCCGTCTTGCATGTGATTATGGAAAGAGGGATCACCTAAATTTAAACAGACCTTGGCAGCTTACAAGGCATTGTCACACCTCCATTCAATCTTAGGGTCCAGGAGAAAGAATTTTTATTTTCTCAATTTTTCAGATGTGGAGACTGGGGTTCAGACGGGTTAGGATCACACCCCAGTCATGCAGCAGAATGGGAGCATCATGAAACTCAGGTATTCTAAGACAAAATCTAGGATGCTCTTTTCACAGCCAACTCCTTCAAATATGGGTAGCAGATGTCTGGGCTGCCTAAACCATTTATTTGATCCCAGTGTTTTTCAAAGCCCTTTCAGATATCAGAAGTAGAAACCAAGACACCTATCTGTCACCAAGTTAAACTTCCCTCATGGTTCCCGTGAAATTGAAAGCATGTATTCCACTAGAGATGGTTGGGAGAACATCTCTAGGAAGTAGTTATTTTAAACCAGATTTATTTTGAGGGGAATTAGCTGAATTTCGAGAATGACAGGGAAAAATCTGGGCTCTCCAGAGCATCCTAACTCCTCCACACGGCCTTCATTTGGCAAGTGTCCCATGGCAGCGATTTTATTTCATCAAACAATTGCCTTTGCAGTGGAGATTTATTTTTTCAAACTACACTAAAAAAAAAAACCCGTACTTTTTAAAAACAAAAATACAGCAGCTTTCTTTTACTGTAAATGAAGTTTGTTGTTTGTTTTCTGTATTCTCTGGATCTCTCTACACACAACTAAAAAGACTAAGAAGATGATATAATTATGAGTATTCTGTCCTTATTTTACACAAGAAATTGGTTATTGGGCATTATTTAGTCAGAATCAGCACACCTTTCAAGCTTCCCACTAAAATTCATTAAACTATTAATATAAACAAAATATTTTAAAGACAATCTAACAGTACTATTTAATTGCTAACTATGTATGTGTATACATATTTACACCTGTGTATATATTATATATACATACATATGTGTATATATGATACATATATATTCAAAAAACTAACAAGCAGCTACAAATTCCAATCCAATTCTATGCACAACTCAAACATATACACATTTCAAACTACCTACCGTGTCTTCTGGATCTTTTTTTGTTTCAGCTTTATTAGGTGAAACCTTAAAAGTTTGAGAAAACCAAATGTTAAAAATCATAGTTCTTTAAGACAACTTTTATTTCATAGACACCTACCTCTCCAGGGTGGCCCAGTTCATCATACAAATAAAGAATGAAATGAGAAGAACTTTTAGTTTGACAGAAATCTGAGGACCTCTGGGTAATATAAAAGTTAACAAAATTAATGTTTTATAATAAAACGTATCAGATCTTATACATTTGATAAGAGTTTGACCACATTCAAAACTGTCTCCTGGAAGGCCACAGACTTTTTATAAATTCTACCATTACTCCAAACACATGCATGACCTTTGGTATTTGTGTCCCATTATGGAGACTTTTATAGTTTTTTTCTTTTAAAATTAGTCTTGATATTTGGAAATAGCCCCAACACATTTGGGATCATCTGTTTAATTAAGCATTTACTCATTCAGCATTTTTTTTTTTTTTTTTGAGTGTCTGATGTGTGCCGAGCCATAGGCTCTGCCCTGAGGGGTCAGAGGTGAGCCAGGAATGCAGACATGGTCTCTGTCCTCATCCAATTACAGTGGTCAATTTAGATGTAATGAAATAAAAAGTAATTTCCACTGTTTTCTTTGCTATATGAACGGAAAACTGCTTTGATAGGTCAACAACACAAAGAAGTATTTTCCAATTATTTTTTATGATCAATGACCATAGACATCCAATTGCAATAGAATTCCATAACCGTACAGCTCGTGTGATGTGGTGTGCATACCCACTGTTTGTGGGTACTCAAAGTTCCCAACTCTAAGGGCTTTCTCCCTGAGAATCTGCTGTGACAAAACTTCCTTCCAAAGCACATCTTGTTCCTGTTCTTCCAAGTTCCAACTATACCATGATCATTTATTCAGTAGAATAACATTCAAATATGCATTCTTAGAATTAACAAAACTTCTGAGCAATAGAATTGAGAGAAGAGGAGGAGGAAATGGCTTACCAGAGTTTTAAAGAAACTCATGATGGAATTATTATCCTCTGTTATAGCTGTTGTCTGGGGGTCCTCCTTTGCAATCGTCTGTCCTTCTGGGTCCCCGGGGATAGGGACACTCTCAGTTCCAATTTCTCGTCTTTCCTCCTTGCTGTCAACTATGTCCTAGGAGCAAATAAGAGTTTTCACAGTTGCCACTTATTCAATGTGAACTCTCAAAGTCATATTTTTGCTTCACACTCCTTTCTCCTTCACCCCCTAATTCCAGCCATACTTCTTCTGCCCACGGGCATGCAGAACAATCAGGAGATTATGAGAGTCACTCTTCCTTACCTCCCCCTCCTTCTAACATATTCAGCATTTGCAGTTGGTTGGAGAGGCATTGTTTGGAGCTAGAGGGTAACAAACACAGCAGTGCCCATGGCATTCCAAACAAAAACCCTTTTCTCCCAATTCCGCAAAGAAGTTGTGCAAGTTTTCTATCTCTGTGGTCTCCTTATCTAATGATTTGTATATTATCCCCAGAGATGGCCCTATTTGGTTTCCCACAATTGCCACAGGGATCAATCATATCCACAGAAAAAAAAAAAAAGTACAGATGTTTTAAAAGAACAACTCTGCTTTTGGGATTTGGAAGTTGATTGGTGCAAAGGATGTGATAGGGGAGAGATTTTCTCTCCTAACTCAGCCAGGACACTAGAACGCTTTCTAAATGTGTCTTCCTTCCCCCATGTCCACCCTCATGATCCTGGGTCAAGACACTGCCATCTCTTCACCCTATGACTGCGATGGTCTCCTGCCCTGTCCACTTGGTCTCTTAACCCCTTCCATCCACGTTTTGCTCCACAGACCCCATCCACTCATTCCTTACCACTTTCCAATGGCTTCCAATAGCCCTTGGAGTCAAGTTCCAACTCTGACCAAAGATCTCCAATGTCTTATGTGGTCCATCCCCTGCCCAAGTCTCCCACCTCTCTGTACCATGTGCATCTTCACTCCATTTTCTGACCATTTTTGAATTTCTCAAACACACAATAAGCTATTTCCAGCCTCGTGGCTCTCGGTCTGGAACACTTCTCCTTTGTCTGCCTGTAGGTAACTTCTACTCGTCCTTCTGTCTTCAGAGAGGTTGTGCCTAAGCGCCCATCTAAAGCTCTCCTCCCCTCGTCATCATCTCTACCATAGTCCCCAACCCTTTTTCATCTTCGCTGCTACAGCATTTTTGTTTACTTGCTCAGAATTTGTATCTTTCCTCACAGGCCCATTAGACTGCAAGCGCGACAAAGACAGGGATAATATTTACTTTACTCAAGTACCAAGGACAGCGAGGACCACAGAAGGTATTCAACACATATGTATCATTTGACAACTTAACAGATGAATGAATATAAATAAATGAAAATTTCCCATGAATGGGATGGTACTTTTTATTGGCTTTGCTTTTCTCACACGACAAAATAGCACAGACATCTCCCCATTGCCTTACAGCTAGCACTCTTTATGTGTCAGGTGGCATTGAATCCATTGCTTTGCTGTGACATTATTGATTATCTAAAATCCCCATTGATGGGTATTCACGGTGTTTATAGTCTTGCATCTCAGGAGTTATAAACAGTTATAAACAGTATTAAATGGACATCCCACACTTTTATTTTAATCACTCACTCATGTGTATCTGTATTTTCTTTGGGTAAATTGCCCAAAGTGAAATGTCTGGGTCAAGTAGTTGCAAATTTTGTAACTTGATAAATATTCTTGCAAAAAATAGATCTCACTAGACAGGTCTTGCAGGTATGTCTTTGGGTCTGAGAAGGTGTTTAGTGCACGGGTAGTGTTGGTAGGTGAGACCTAAAACATGTCTAGGCTGGTTGGGTCAGGGCATGTGGCTATGGCCTGACAGTTGGGGAGGTTGGTCTGGAGGTGGGTGGAGTGAGGAAGGCAGACTCGATTTTCACCTCCTGGTCTGGACGCCCTGTCTCCTCTTTTCTGCCCAGGAGTCTGTTTTGGCTCCTTACCCCAGCAGTGGGGAGTGGGATATTGTAGCATAGCATTCTAAGCTAGTACAATTTGAACAAGGGCACCTAATCTTAATATATCCTTAGTTATTATGGAATATTATAAAATGTCAACCATTTTGCATTTATAACATGCAAACCACTGTGAAAATAAGTGTACTAAACATATGTCACTTAATCTTCACAACAATTTTCTGAGACAAATATGACAATTAACAGTCTCAAACAAGGAACTGAGGCTCAGAGAGGTTAGGTCCCTTGTCCAAGGTCAAAAGCTTGAGAGAAGCGCATCTGGGGATTCTAATTCAAGCCTGCCAGAACTGAACACCTTAACATGCTATAGCTCATTTGACCATGAGTGTCAGATTAACTAAGCTTATTGTAGTATGAGCAGTAAAATTTGACATCATATAAATTGAATCCAGGTGACGGAAAACCAAGATCTTTGTGGGAGTGTGTATAAATATATACTAAATTCATAAATTCCATCCCCAAAGAGCTCTCCTAACTTGTCTCCTGAGAAGTTCTACACTTAAAATTTGTCTAAACCATGTCATCCATTTATTTATTTATGTATTTATTTATTTATTGTGTCAGGGTCTCTGTCACCCAGGCTGGAATGCAGTGGCACAATCACAGCTCACTGCAGCTCCATCTTTTGGACTCAGGTGATCCTTCTGCCTCAATTTCCCACAGAGCTGGGACTCCAGGTACACATCACTATACCTGGCTAATTTTTTGATTTTTTTTTTTTTTGTAGAGATGTGGTCTTGCCCAGGCTGGTCTCGAATACATGGACTCAAGTGATCCTCCTACCTCTGCCTCCCAGAGTGCTGGGATTACAGGTGTGAGCCACCAGACCTGTACTCACTTCTTCAACAATGCTTCTTTAGGCTTTTTTAGTTTCACAGCTATGAAGTGCCTTTACAAAACTATCTCATTTAATCTTTGCAGAGATTGTGCAAAGCATTTTACAGATGAAGAAACTGAGGCCCAAAGAGGTTTAAGCATCATGTCCAAGGCTACCCGGTAAGTGTAGGCATTAACTTGTTTTTACCTATGATTTCTTATTCCTTAAGATAACAGGACCCTTCCTGCTTGTCCCTGGAGAACTGCCCCTCTTCCATCCCACTTCCATGACCTTTTCCATTACTTTTCTGATATGTTCTTGTTTTTTGTTAGATTATTTTATTGTAGTCACAATGGCCTTCTTACTGTTCTTTGAACTTGCCAAGCAGGCTCTTGCCTCGGGCCCTTTGTACCTGAGCTTCTGCCTGTCAGGAGCATGCTACCCTACTTCCTTCAAGTTTTTTTCATGTCATATTCTTGTTGAGATTTTTTTTTTTTACCACTCTACTTTACATTGCTATAACTCCAACTCAGTATACCGTTGCTATTAGTTGCCTCATTTTTTTTTTTTTGTTTATTTGTTTTTTGAGTTGGTGTCTCACTCTGTTGCCCAGACTGGAGTGCAGTGGCACACTCACAGCCACACCAGCATTGACCTGCTGGGCTCCGGCAATCCTTCCACTTCAGTCTTCCAAGTAGCCAGAACTATAGGCGTGCACTACCACACCCGGCTAAGTTTTGATTTATTGTAGAGACAAGGTCTTGCCAAGGTGCCTAGGCTGGTCCCGAACCCACAGGCTTAGGCAATCCACTCTCCTTGGTCCCCCAAAGTGCTGGGATTACAGACTGAGCTACCGAACCCAGCCTGCTTTTTTTTTTAGCATATTTCACTTCTAATATATCACTGGTTCTCCCTCCCTCCAGGGACATGTGTCAATGTCTGGAGACATGTTTTGGTTGTCACAGGCAGGGGTGGGTGGGCTACTACTGGTATTTAGCAAGCAGAGGCTAAGGATGTTGCCAAACATTCTACAAGGCATAGAACAAAGAATTATCCTGCCCAAATGACAACAGTGATGAGATTGAAACATTCTGCATTGTATTAAAAACTCGCCGGGCTTGGTGGCTCAGCCTGTAATCCCAGCACTTTGGGAGGCCGAGGTTGAGTGGATTGCCTGAGCCTGTGGGTTCAAGACCCGCCTGGGCAACTTGGCAAGACTTCATCTCTACAATAAATCAAAAATTAGCCAGGCGTGGTAGCGCGCGCCTGTAGTTCCAGCTACTTGGAAGGCTGAGGCGGAAGGATCACTGGAGCCCAGCAGGTCGAGGCTGCGGTGGCTGGGAGCGGCCACTGCACTCCAGTCTGGGTGACAGAGTGAGACTCCAACTCAAAATAAATAAATAAAAACTCATTCACTCATTGTACATTTTGTCCCTCTCCCCTCACTAGAGTATAAACTAGTGAAAGTTGTTGTTTTTTCCTTTTATTCCCCAGCACCTAGACTTGTGCACATAGTAGATACTCAATGATTATTAATGAATGAATGAATGATTACATCCAAGTGAGACTATCAAACATCCATTTTTACCCAGTGTTTTCAAGTATTTTTTTTCCCCTTACCTTCTTTCCTTTCATGTCTTTTCTAATGACATGTTGACTAGTTTGCTTGGAGTTGTTCTACGGCTCGTTAATGTTCCTTTATTTATTAAAAACATTATTTTTCCTACTTCATTTCCCTCCTCCTATCTGCCCCATGTTTCCTTTTGGATAATTTCTATTGCTGTGTCTTTAAATTCATGAATCTTTTCTTCTGTTTTGTTGAATCCGCCGTTAATTTCATCCAGTGTATCTTTCACCTCACACATTGTAGTTTTTATCTCTAGAAGTTTTATTTGGATTTGTAAAACATGTCATCTATGTCTCTACTTCACTTTTTAAACGTGGAATACATTTATACTATTCTTTTCATGTTCTTTTTGGACCAATTCTAACACCTGTGTCAGGTCTAGGCTGGTTTTGATTGATTTTTTTCCTCACATTATGAGTTACATTTTCTTGCCTTTGCTTCCCTTGTAATTTTTGTTTAGATGTCAGACATTATGAATCTTAACTGTTTGGGTGCTGGATAGTTTTGTAGTCCTATAAATATTCTTGAGCTTCGTTCTGGGATATAGTCAAGATATTTGAAAACAGTTTGATCCTCTCAGTGTTTGCTTTTAAGAGTTGTTAGGCAGAACCAAAGCAGTGTCTAGTCTAGAAAGATAACTTTTTCCCACTAGTGAGGAAGGACCCTGTGACTC